TGCAGTGAGCCAAGACCATGCCATTGCACTCCAGCCTGAGCAACAAGAATGAAACTCCGTCTCAAAAAAAAAAAATGTGTGTATATATATGTGTGTGTGTATATATATGTGTATATACAGTGTGTGTATATATGTATATATGTGTATATATGTATATATGTGTGTATATATGCATATGTGTGTGTGTATATATGTGTGTGTATATATGTATACATATAGTGGGGATCTATGGTTCAATTGCTGATTTCTTCTGATTGTGGGGATGCAGTAACAGGGATGCTCGATGCAGACAGTGGTGAGCAGCCATCGTCGCAATCTTTACCACCATTGTTGCAAGCCCCTACCCTTCTGGCTGAAGAGACTTTCAGGGAATTTAAAGGACTGGCACACTTCTCTCTTCATTGATCACTTCTCCCTCTTTTTTGGAGTCAGACACTTAAGGATGTGGACATTTTGATGCGCTTGCATATACAAAGGAATTTAGAAAGCTACCACACATTTCCAGGAAACTTCACATGCCCTGTGAAGTGTTTTGTTGAAAATTAAACATTTGAATCTTATAGTGTAGTAACTCAGGAAATCAGACTCTCTCCTTCTTCAGCATTTGCTTTTTAAAAATTTGTCATAAGCTGTCTTTGTGCAGGGATCAGGCTGAGGCAAAAACTTAAGGTCTTGTCAGATCTTGCTTCCTGCCCTTGAACATCACACTCCAAGTTCTTCAGCTTTTGGACTCTTGGACTTACACCGTGTTTTTCCAGGGGCTCTCAGGCCTTCGGCCACAGACTGAAGGCTGCACTGTCAGTTTCCCTACTTTTGAGGTTTGGGGACTCAGACTGGCTCCCTTGCTCCTCAGATTGCAGACGGCCTGCCATGAGGCTTCACTTCATGTAAGTCAATTCCCCTTAATAAACTCCCTTTCATATACACATGTATCCTATAGGTCTATCCCTTTAGGTAACCGTGACTAATGACTTGCCATCTCATATTTATATTTGTTAGCTCATTGGATCCACACACGGGCTCCTTGGCTGTTGTGAACAGGCAGTGAGAGGCTAAGTGCCTGCCCCAGGCCCCACAGCGAGGTGTTGGCTTAGCCAAGCTATCCCCAGAGCATCCAATGGCTTCCTGAAATTTGTTCTTCTGACCTCTTTGTCTGCCTCTCTTTTTCTGTCTGTCCCAATTCTCTGCCTCTTCAGATTCCCAGACCAGCGTGGGTCAGCACATTCCTGCAGCCCGGAAAGGAGGTGGCAGTGGTTTATCAGTTTATGTTGCTGACACCACTTTCAGCTTGAACTACTTTAAACAAGTCTGGTATTCAAGTCCAAACTCAACAAACCCCCAACCACACCCCATGTGTCACAGCCCCTCACTCACATTCTGCTGGTAGATGTTCACTGCAATAACCTTCGTGGAGGACATTCGTCTAACATTCATCAAAATCCAGATGCCTGTGGATTTGACTCAGCAATTTAAATTCTACTAGTAAGTCATTTCAATTCATAGGAATGTTTATATATTCAAGGATGTTTACATCATGTGTAAAAATGTAATATCAAAATTTTGAGATAATCTAATGTCTATTCATAGGAGATTAATTACATAAATAATGGCACATCTCGGGCAGTCATTAAAAGATAATAAACGTGAGTCCTATGCACTGGCTCAGGAGGCTGTTCATCATATTTTTTAGTAAAAAGGTTTGATGAAAAATATGAACCGTCTGCTGCTGCTTTGCGTAAAATTTCTGATCGTTTTGTACGTGCACAGATAAATATCTTGACGGATGAACACTTGTACTAGGAGACCCTTGAGGAAATTCTTAATGTGTCTGACACTGTCTGATAACATGAACTATCTGAGGCCATTTGTGCTCAAGATTACCTTCCCTCTCACTGTTCAAGGTCACCGCCCCCAAATTCCTCTGCTCTCTTTCCTGCATCGTCCATAGGGTCATTACCGTCATGTGCCAATACCACATTATCTCTCCAAACTCAAAAAATAACCCCAAATCAAAACCAAAACGAACCCTCCTCTGCTACCTTTGCTGTCCTTTACATGAAAGCACCATTACTTGCTTTCTCTAATTTTCCTCCTCCCATTTTCTTTTCATTTCACTCTACTGGGATTTCAGCCCTCACACTCCACCAAAACCACTCTCATTAAGGTCACCAGTGATCTCCTCATTGATAAATCCAGTAGTCACCTTTCAATGACTCTTGACCTGTGGTCATTTGGTAAGTGGCTTACTCCTGTCTGAAACCCTCTCTCCCCTTGACTCCTGGGATCCCCTCTTCTCCTGGGTTTCCTCCCATCTCCCTGGCTGCTCCTCCTCTATTTCCTTTGCTAGTTCCTTCTTGGCGCCTTGACCAGTAACCCTTGACCTGTCCCTGGGCTATGTCCTTGGTCCTCTTCTTGTCCTTCCTCACCCCTTTGGACCTTTACATGCCATTCCTGTGCAGATGGCTCCCCAATTTACATCTCAGTCCGACACCTCCCTGAACTCCAGGCTTATCCATCCAGCTGCCTACTCACCATCTCCCTCATCTCAGTTAAAGCAACTCAGGCCACACACCTGGAGCTGTGGTGGACCCGTCTTGCTCTCATACTGCACGTCACATCTATCAGCAAAGCTACTGGTCCTTTTTCAAAACATCTCCAGAACGGACTGCTTCTCGTCACCTCCACGGCCACCTCCTGGCCCCCCATACCAGTCTCGGCCTCCTCTCTCCTGGATGGTTGCAGTGGCCTCCGAACGGCTCTCCTCACTGCCTCCTTCCCCACAGAGCAACAGAGTGATCTCGTGTCACCTATTTCATTTGTCAGATCCTCTCTCTCCTCTGCTGGTTCTCATTAGGTCAGAGAAAAATCCAGAGTCCTTACAACATCTGGTCCTACAGGAACTGAGCCCCCCACCACAACCACCTGGCTGACCTTGGTCCTGCTACTCTCCCCCTGCTGCCTTTGCTCCGGCCACACTGACCTCGTGCTTTTCCTTGAACATCCCAGGCCTGTCTTGCCCAAGGGCCTTTGCCCTTGCTGCTCCTCTGTCTGGGGCCCTACTCCCCAGACACCTTCAGGGTTTGCCCCCAGTCTTTGGTCTTCGTTCAAAAGTCCTCAACGAAGCCCACCCGCCAACAATTTTATTTATTTATTTATTTATTTATTTAGAGAGGGAATCTCGCTCTATCACCCAGGCCAGAGTGCAGTGGCATTATCTCGGCTCACTGCAACCTCTGCCTCCCTGGTTCAAGCAATTCTCCTGCCTCAGCCTCCCGAGTAGCTGGGACTACAGGTGCACGCCGCCATGCCTGGCTATTTTTTTTTTTTTTTTTATTTTAGTAGAGATGGGGTTTCACCATGTTGCCCAGGCTGGTCTCTAGCTCCTGAGCCCAGGCAATCCACTCGCCTCAGCCTCCCAAAGTGCTAGGATTACAAGCGTGAGCCACTGCACCCGGCCAATTTTATTTAAAATAGCACCTTCCCTAGCCTCTCTAGCTACTCCCTGTCTCCCCCCTTCCTAGCACCTTCCAACATACGATGTCATTCACTTAGTTTTCTGTATTATAAGTTTAATGACTTACAGATAATTCAGTAATTTGGTCTGTTTTATTCTCTGATTTCCCCAGAACACCCAGCTCAGTTCCTGGAACAGAGCAGATGCCCAATTAATATGGGTCAAATGTTTAAAGGAACAAAGGCAACTGTTTTCCCTTCTCAGACAGGATGACAGGATGACTAAGCTATGAATAACATAGGTTGTTCTTGTACAAAGTTCCGCAGAACCCTGAGTCCCTGGAGGAAAGATCACGTATCTGCAGAGAGAGAAGAGTAGATGACTGGTGTCTGGGTACTTTCTAGAATGTACTTGCTTTCGAAATTGTGTCTGCTCTTTTCAATGTTTTCATTGAAAATCTCAACCTAAATAACAAACACAGAGAGATTCTGCAAATATAATGAGTTTAATTGGGAGTGAGCATTGCAGTGCGGAGTATGTGTGGCTTTATAAACTATGGGCCTATTCAGAGAGGCAAAGGGTAAAAAGGGCTTTTAAAAGAAAAATGGGGAGGGTTACGTAAGTTGTTTTGAAACAATTATCCTTGGTTATGAGGATTAATAACGAGAGCGGCCCGGGCAGTTGCTGAGCAGATGTTCTAGCAGAAGTATTGTTTGGGTAAGTTTGCAGTGACCTTTGTGCGAGGTTCTGATTTTTACAGTTTTTTGTGATACTTCTTTGTTATCAGGCAATGGTACATGCAGAACCTCCCTTTATTGTTTTTCCCAGTTCCATTTTGTTAGGGTTTGACCAAGTGACTTCATTTTGATTCTGACAGCTTTTGCAAATAGGAAGTTTTTAACGGTGTCTTAAAGGAGGTAAGACAGGTGTTACCAAATATTAACAATGGCCTGAAGCAGTCTGAGAAAGGAACAGAACCCATCCCTCCCCCCATCTTGGTCTGCAAGATGGGGACTCAGAAGGATCCTCATCTTGCAGACAAGGCTCAGCTGAAGGGGAGGCTGAAGGGGAGCTTAGTCTTCCCCAGCAACCACAAGATCCAGTGATCTGTGTCAATTATGGGGACGTAGACCAGTCAGAAAATTGATAGCCACCCCTCATCTTTCATGATGAGGGCCAGGGCAGCATTTTCCACGGTATCAGCAACAAAGAAACCCTTTGGGCAGACTGCCATTGTGTGCCCAGGAATTTCCTACTGATTGCGATTTTTAAAAAATGACCGGGCGTGGTGGCTCACGCCTGTAATCCCAGCACTTTGGGATGCTGAGGTGGGCAGATCACCTGAAGTCAGGAGTTCGAGACCAGCCTGGCCAACGTGGTGAAACTCTGTCTCTAATAAAAATACAAAAATTAGCTGAATGTGGTGGTGGGTGCGTGTAATCCTAGCTACTGGAGAGGCTGAAGCAGGAGAATTGCTTGAACCCGGGAGGCAGATGTTGCAGTGGGCCAATATCACGCCATCGCACTCCAGCCTGGGCGACAAGAGCAAAACTGTCTCCAAACAAACAAACAAACAAACAAAGCCCCACGTCCTTTCTGGGGCTGAGCAGGGAGACAGCCCTAACCTAAGCAGTTCCTAAAACATCCCCACATTTTAATAGCCAGTGTCTTGAAGGGGTAGGAGTGGAGAGATCAAGAGAAGGTTTTAAATTTAACATTTTCTCTTCTGTGGCTGTTGGCGTTGTTTTTTCTTTGTACTGTATGTGTGCATGTATTATTTATATTTTGGAGTTGTTTGACCTTTATACCATATATGTGTGTGTACATTTGTACTGTATGTGTGCATATGTGTGTGCATATACATGCACGTGTATATGTGTGTACATATATGCATGTGCATGTGTGTGCATATATGTGGATGTGTGCATGCGTGTGCATGTTTGCATGCCTATGTGTGCATATAGTGTGCATGCTAGTGTGCACATGTGTGTATATTAATGTGTGTGCTTGTAAGTGTATGTATGTGCATGCATGTGTACATGTGTGGATATCAATGTGTGTGCATGTGTGTGCATTGTGTGCATGCATGTGCATGTATGTGTGCATATATGTGTGTGCATGTATATGTATATATGTGTGCATGTGTGTGCACGTGTGTATATTAATCTGTGCGCATAAATGTGTGCGTATATATTAACGTGTGTGCACGTATGGCACGTATGTGCATATGTGTGCACATGCATGTGCGTGCATGTGCATATATGTGTGCATACATGTGCATGTGTGTGCATATATGTGTATATATTAACCTGCGTGTATTGTTTGCATATATTAACATGTTCTCATGTGTGCATATGTGTGTGCATGCATGTGCACGCAGGTGTGCACATACATGTGTGCATGTGTGCATAAATGTGTATGTGTGTATGTGCATGCATATACATGTGTGCATATATGTGTGCATGTGTTTGCATAAATGTGTGTGCATGTGTAAATATTAACATGTGTGTGCATATATGTGGATGTGTGCACATGTGTTAGCACGTGTGTGTATGTGTGTGTATTAACGTGTGTGTGTCCCAGCTTCAGAAGTGAGGTTTATTTACAGTAGAAAGGGATTCTACAGTTTACAAAAGGATTTGCCAAAGGCTTCTTTGAAGTGCTGTGCTCTCCAGGGACTAGCAGAAAAGCTTTTGATTTATAAACCCTTCCCTTGCATACTCTGAAGCAACCCTTAAACACATGGTCAATTTCCATTTCAAGTTCTGCTCAGTTTAAGTCACAGTCTCCCAAGTTGCAGTGTGGAGCACTGTGCTTGGCACAGTGGGGGAACAAAGATGAAGACTTGTGTTCAAAGAGTAACTGGCAGTGTCAACTCTCTCACAGAGGAGACCTCTAAAGACCTTTTCAAAAACTATTGCCAGGTACAATTTAGCGAGAACTCTCAGTATCATTCATAAATCCCACAAAGGGGGCAGATGTGCTCTGGTCTCTGCTGCCTCTGGTCTCCCAGGTTGTTTGGGCCTCCAGGAGGCTCTGCTGTAGTCAGAAGGGAGGTGAAAGAGTGATGGTGAAGGAGGAACAGCGAGTCTGTATTCCTTATCAACACCATCATGGTGCAGAACCCACAGAAGGAGCCCTGCAGTACAGTGAGGGAGAATTTTTGAAATTATGACAAAAGGTGTTACAGGCGACTTGAAAAAACAAAGCCCAAGTAATGCCTGGGGGCTGGGGAAAGCAAGGAGGGAACAAGAGGCCTTTTCAAGTTATCTGTGTCCCCAGCCAGCCTGGTAGTTTACTTCCCTTACAAGCACCTTCATACCCTTGCCATCAGCAGCCTGCCTGTGCTGCTGATGTTGTCACAGGGGGAGGCAATGTGGGACAAATTAAAGTTATCCCTGAAATTTCTTTTCTTTTCTTTTCTATTTTTTTGATACAGAGTTTTGCTCTTGTTGCCCAGGCTGGAGTGCAGTGGCATGATCTTAGCTCACTGCAACCTCCGCCTCCCGGGTTCAAGCCATTCTCCTGCCTCAGCCTCCCGAGTAACTGGGATTACAGGCACGCGCCATCAAGCCCGGCTAATTTTATGTAATTTTAGTAGAGACGGGGTTTCACCATGTTGGCCAGGCTGGTCTCACACTCCTGATCTCAGGTGATCTGCCTGCTTCAGCCTCCCAAAGTGCTGGGATTACAGGCGTGAACCACCGCGCCCAACCCTAAATTTTTATTTTATTGTTCCTACTTGAAATTAGTTTCTCTATTGATAACATCTTTCAAAACAAGGATATATTTCTTTTTTAAAGTAGAAAAGATACAATAAAAGCTTTAAAAAACAAAACAATGAGAGAGTGCAGAACCCACCCTATTGGGTCTTTGTGAGGATTAAACGAGATGATAGCAGGCCCAGGGCACAGGGCCTGCAAGTGAGGAGAGTCAGGGCAGGAAGCCTCCAAAGCCTCGTTGCTGCTGTGGCTGTGTGGTTGTGGTCGTTGCTGTTGGACATCGAGGGGTTTAGTAGTATTGTTGTGGTGGGACTTTGACCGGTAGTTTTACTTCTCCATGCTGTGGCTAAGTCATCAGTAAAATCAGAACACGCTCTTCCCAGCCTGAAAGCAGGATGATGGATTGGAAGACCTCATAATACCATTTCTAATGTCTGAAATCTCTGTTTTGGTGGCTATACTGGGTTTGGTGACCTTTGATCTTAATGCAATGGAAGGGCAGGGGGATGATATGAAGTATCCCATCTATTTCTGCATAATTCAGTACCTACATTCACTCAGGCATTCCAGAAACATGTATGCAGCTTCTGCCTTATTCCCATTGTATGGATGAGGAAACTGAGGCTAATCATCCCTGTTATATTACGCAGTCTTAATCCCTCGCTGTGCAGGCAGTGGGCTCTCTGCTTGCATTGACTTTGATATTAAGAGCTCAAGGAGTTGCACGGGAAATCGGGATTTTGGTAGCTTGAAACAAATGGCTCCCTGGAATGGGTCGTGTCTTCCTGGGTCATTGTCAGCAAATCAATATCTGACTGTGCCACCCAGGGTGGTGCTCACCTCATCAACCCTTGCCACCTAAGAAGTTACAGAGAAGATCAATAATCTGACAAAATATAAATAAAAGTGTCTCAAGTAAACCAGAGGGGAGGAGATATGCAGGCAGCTCTTGGGGAGTCCATAAATCTGGGCTGATAAACTACCTGGGCAGGTGCCTCTGCCACCAGCATCCTGGCTCAGGACAGAAGCAGCATAATTACCTCTCTGGCGGTAGTTATCTGGAGTGAGTCAATCCATTTTTCTTTTTTATTACCATTGAATTTCAGGAAAGTGTCCTCTGCAGGCCCCTTTTATCTAAATGTTGGATTTATTTGATGACTCTACTAGGTCTGATGACAAGGGCCAAAGCACGCCCTGCAGTAAGGAGGACTCGGTCCCTGAGCCTGCCACGCGAAGGGTGCTCTCAGAGGGCATGATGGGTGGGTTGCTAGACAGCCAGCCATTCATAACCGTCATCCCCATCAGTGGTGCCATTAATTTTCCTTCCTTCCCTGTTTCCCTGCTCAGTGGACTGGCTGGGCCCAACTCAAAGCAGTGGGAAGAGGGTGAGAATAATTCAGGATTTTAGGGAGGATTTCTCTGCTGAGACAGGTAGGAAAAGGGGCAGCTGGCCAGCAGGGCTCTTTCCCTGCATCCAGCTCTAACCTCCTCCTCCTCTCTGCATGTTCTGTTGCAGTAAGAGCCCCAACAGAAACTGGCTGCCATCCGCAAAGTCACAGATTCCAGGATGTCCTTTTCTAAGCAAATTGCCCCAGCTCCCCTGACACTCTAGGGTCCAAGTTGCATCCCAAAGTTAGGTATCTTTTCTTCCAGGCCCCTTGCCTAGGCTTCTCTGAGCAATGTCAGCTTCCCTGAAAAGCAGCTAAGTGTCTGGGTCTGGCTACTATGGAGGCTCACATAAGACTCAACATAATAATGGCTTATACCAGACAAAATTACTCTCTCACATAACAGTTCTAACACTGGCTATTGAGGCCTCATGTGATGACTCTGCAGTGTTGGGACCCATATTTCTTCCATCTTTTATTTATTGTTATTAATTTGTAGGCCTCATTAATTTTATAAAATATAGATCAATTCCATGTCCTCATTCCATCCAGGAGGAAGGAAGAACAAGAAGACATGAAAAGTAGAAGCCTTCCCTTTAAGGACAACCTGTATGGTGCACACAATTACTCGCCTGCCATTGGTAGGAAATGGTCACATGGATGCACCTTGCTGCAGGGCACACTGGGAAGTGTAGTTTTTATTTTATGCAGTTTAAATTTCAGGATCTGTAATGAAAGGAAGAAGTGGAGAATATATGGGGGTGGGGTGGGTAGGAAAGGGCTGGCTGGCCACAGTAAGTGGAACATGTAACAAGTGTTTTGGAGATTTGAGGTGAAGCTGGCAGTGGAGTGGGAAAAGAGATACGTCTATTCGGTCTTTTTTTTTTTTTTTTTTTTTCACCTTCCTGACTTCCTGGAGACTCCATTCTTTTCCTTTGACCTTTCTCAACCTTGACACAGGTATGTGGCTTTTTTCTTTTTTCTTCTTCTTTTTGTTTTATTTTTATTTTGAGATGGAGTTTTTTTGCCCTTATTGCCCAGGCTAGAGCGCAATGGTGTGATCTTGGCTCACCACAACCTCTGTCTCCCAAGTTTAAGCAATTCTCCTGCCTCAGCCTCCGAGTAGCTGCGATTACAGGCATATGCCACCACGCCCAACTAATTTTAGTATTTTTAGTAAAGTTGGGGTTTCTCCATGTTGGTCAGGCTGGTCTCGAACTCCCAACCTCAGGTGATCCACCCACCTTGGCCTCCCAAAGTGCTGGGATTACAGGCGTGAGCCACGGCTGCTTTTTTTCTTATCTTAATTTAGATTTTCCAAAGTGCCTCCTAGGCCATCTAAAGCTCTGGGATTCACCAGACTAAGTGAGACCACATGGAAGTTTAAAGAAGCTGTTGTTGGGATCCACTCTGTGCCGGACACTATGCTGGGTGTTGGGAATACAGCAGAGAGTAAGACACAGATACACTTTTCCCCTCCTGGAATGGGGCCTATAGCATGAAAAAATTACACAAATACACATCAAATGATAACTATGACTTCTGCTTCTGGCTAAGATGGAATAACAGGGACTGGATTTACCATTCTGCTGGAAACACTAAAAAACTGGAAAAAAATATATAGAACAATGATTTTAAACATTAGGCACGAAGCAAAGGGGGCACAATGATCCCTGAAAGGCAGGAAAGATAAAGGCAAGCCCTGTGAGTATTTCAGCTTTGTAGATCTGAAAACGTTTTTATTTCTCCTTTGTTTCTGAAAGGCATTCTTGTAGCGTTTAGAATTTTAGAGCATTTAAAAATGTTTATCCACCATGTTCACACTTGAATGATTTCTGTGGAGAAATCTGCTGTCATGCATATATTTGTTCTTCTGTGCATAATGTGTCTTTTTTCCCTTTGGCTGCTTTTTTTTTTTTTTTTTTAGTCACTGCCTTGGAGCCCTTTGATTATGATGCAATGTATTAGAGTTCTCTAGAGGGACAGAACAAATAGGATAGATGTAGATATGAAGGGGAGTTTACTAAGGAGTATTGACTCACATGATCACAAGGTGAGGTCCCACAATAGGCCGTCTGCAAGCTGAGGAGCGAGGAAGCCAGTCCGAGTCCCAAAACCTCAAAAGTAAAGAAGCTGAGAGTGTGGCCTTTAGTCTGTGGCCGAAGGTCCAAGAGTCCCAAAACTGAAGAATTTGGAGACTGACGTTTGAGGGCAGGAAGCATCCAGCATAGGAGAAAGGTGGAGGCCAGGAGACTCAGCCAGTATAGTCTTTTCACATTTTCCTGCCTGCTCTTATTCTGGCTACGCTGGCAGCTGGTTAGATTTTGC